GGAAGAACGTGCACACATGGTGAAGGTGTCGTATGCCTCAGCAATTGGAAGTCTGATGTATGCCATGGTTTGTACCAGACCAGATATTGCTCATGCAGTGGGAGCTGTTAGCAGGTACATGAATAATCCGGGCAAGGTACACTGGGAAGCAGTCAAATGGATCCTCAGATATCTTCGGGGTACCACAAACAAATCACTTTGTTTCAAAGGTGGAGATATGATACTGACAGGCTATGTAGATGCTGACTTAGCCGGAAATGTCGACATCAGAAGGAGCACTACAGGGTATGTCTATACTCTATGAGGAACTGCAGTGAGTTGGGTTTCTCAACTACAGAAGATAGTTGCTCTCTCCACAACTGAAGCAGAATATGTCGCTGTTACGGAAGCCAGCAAGGAGATGGTTTGGCTCCAAAGTTTCTTGGAAGAGTTAGGCAAGAAACAAGAAAACAATATCTTGTATTGCGACAGTCAAAGTGTTATCCATCTAGCAAAGAATCCGTCTTTTCATTCCAGGACAAAGCACATACAATTGAGATATCATTTTATCCGGTCTCTTCTGGAAGATGGGATTTTGAAACTTGAAAAGATTAGTGGAGCTCAAAATCCGGCAGACATGTTGACAAAGACGGTGACTACGGACAAACTGAAGTTGTGTTCAGCTTCAGTTGGCATGCTAGAATAACAAGACCAGACATGCTGCTGCATTGATCGAGGTGTGAAGACATATTAAAATCAGTCTTCAAGTGGGAGATTGTTAAAAGTTTCAAAGTTTGGCAACCAACTTTGGAAAATGTTTTTTTCAAAGTTTGGTAAATGTTTCTTTGAAAAATGTTTTTCAAAGTTTGGTAAAATTTTGGTATATGTTTGTTGAAAATAGGAATGGGTAAATTCACTTTAGTCATTGCACTTTAGGGTATTTTCAAAGATTAGTCCCTAAGTTTCTACTATAAATACCCTTACCCATTTAGCTTCAATATCATCCCAAAACATTTCTTTCTTCCTATACTAGAGAGCTTTCTTGTGAGTAGTGAGTGTTTTGTAAACACCTGTAAATTTTCTCTCTTAGTAAAAGATCTGCAGCAGCCCGGAGACGTAAGCACAATTGGCTGAACTCCGTTATCAATTTTCGGGTATTATTTTTCCGCTTTTATTTCGCATTCTCACTAATCTGGTTATAGGGAAATTACTTGTACTCGGTTTATTTTCCTAACACCCCCCCTTTGTTTCATGACAAACCTCCCTAGTCTCTATCTCTCCCAAACATAAATGATCGATCTGTGGTCTTAAATATAATTAATTAATAATAAATTCACCTTCACATGTATGCATGCATGTTCAGTGTGTATAACTGTTATTTTTGTTATACATACATACACATATATATATATATATATAAAAGAAAGGATATAGCTTGTTTCTTCATTTCTCCATTCCATTTGATCTTCCTATCATTTTATCTTTTAGGAAATGCACTTCAAATAAAAGAGAGAGAGAGAGAAAATAGAAAGGCATAGTGAAGAAATAAAAGAATCTTTCTTATCAACCTTATATATTAGATTTATATTCAATTCACTAACGGTATATAATTATATCTAATATCGGATGACGTTTGTTCATTAATCGTGCTTAAAATTATATATGCATCAAATATATATATATATATATATATATATATATGGTAAAGTATATAAATGGCCACTGAAGTTTTCATATGCTTACATTTAGGTCCCCCAACTTTTAAAACTTGCAATACAATCACTAAACATTTAGTTCGTTTGCAATACGGTCCCCAACGTAACCACCGTTTCACTGCCATTAGGGTAAATTATATAAATGGTCACTGAACTTTTCAGGCGCTTGCATTTAGGTCCCCCAACTTTTAAAACTTGCAACACAATCATCAATTACATTTAAAACCCCAAAATCTAAAATGCTTCAATTACATTCTAAACCTCAAATTCCAAAATATTTCAATTACATGCCCAATCCCAAATTCATAATCCATTCTAAAAATATGTCATAACAAATTGAACTTGAAACAGCAACCCTAAACCCTCAAAACATAACCATTTTGAGAGAAAAAAATTAACCAACTATAAGTGAACAATAAGTGATTATGTTGGGTTTAGGGTTTAGGGTTATGTTAGACCTAAATACTCAATTCAGTTTATAAAATAGTTGACTCGATTTTTTTTCCGATTTGAGTTTATAAAATTTAAATCAAGTCGAATTGAATTGAATTTTTGAGTTTTTGTTTAAATTTAATTATAAATATTTATCATATTATAATATTATTTGATTCTAATTCAGTTCAGTTTATAAAATAGTTGACTCGAAATTTTTTCGCTTTGAGATTATAAAATTTAAATCAAGTCAAATTGAATTGAATTTTCGAGTTTCTATTTAAATTTAATTATATATATTTATTATACTATAATATTATTTGATTCTAATTTAAATAGTTTTTTTCACCATATACAATACATATATTTCTTCATATTTTTTCCATATGTGATATACATATATCATACAGACTCAATGGACTTGACTCTAACTTAAAAATTAATCCACTAATTACTAAAAATTTTGAGATATTCGGGTTGTATTTTACAACTCGATTTTAACTTGAAATTTTTTTAAGTTGAGTTTATGAAATTACAACTCAAAAATCAATTTGTATCAAATTTTTTGAATCAATTCAAGTCGAAAAATAATTTTTTTGAATCGAATTGAGTATTGTTCACTTATAGTTGGTTAAATCTAACTTTTAAATCTAAACTCAACATAATCACTTATTGTTATGGACCCAAAATGAACTAAATGTTGTTGATTATGTTGGGTTAATTGGTGGAGAAATTTAATATTTAGGGTTATATTTTGAGGGTTTAGGGTTGATGTTTCAAGTTCAGTTTGTTATGGTAGATTTTGAGAATGGATTATGAATTTGGGTTTGGGCATGTAATTGAAGTATTTTGGAATTTGAGGTTTAGAATGTAATTGAATTATTTTGGAATTTGGGGTTTAAAATGTAATTGATGACTGTGTTGTAAGTTTTAAAAGTTGGGGGACCTAAATGCAAGCGCCTTAAAAGTTCAGTGACCATTTATATAATTTACCCAAACTGCAGTGAAACGGCCGTTACGTCGGGGACCATATTGCAAACGAACTAAATGTTTGGTGACTGTATTGCAAGTATTAAAAGTTGAGGGACCTAAATGCAAGCATATGAAAAGTTAAATGACCATTTATATACTTTACCCATATATATATTACATTAGGTTATTATATGATTGTAGGCAAGTGACCTTGATCTCTTAAAATGGAAAAAATATTTATTAATTGCTTAATAAAAAATCAAATTATAAATTAATCCAATCATAAAATTATACTTATAATTTAGGAGAAAAAGAAGAGAAATTGTGCCCATAATTAGTATTGAACTTACAACTTAAGAGAAAAAAAGGTATCAACCGAAAGTTTTTAACCATATGTTCTATAGATGATTAACTATATATAAAATATTTTTTCTTTGATAAATCTGGAATAAGTACAAGATAGTAGTTGTTCAAATATAACTCTCAACCATTTGATATTAAACGCTCAGACTCTCCTGACATTCATAGTACTCTAACCCGCGTCCACAAAACATACTTAAGATAATTTTTTTTATAAAGACAAAAAAAAGAGAATACATATAATATACATAATAATAATGATAATAATAATCTTTATACCCGAGTTGCATGAAGTTACACATTTGCTACACGGTATCCACTTCTGTTGATAGCGATTTTCAGTATATGCAACTAGGAATGGAAGAACGACCCGAACCCGACGGAAAACTCGAAACCCGGTTAAGTTCGGGTCGGGTTTGAATAATATCGGATCGGGTCGGGTATCAGGGTAAAATTCAGAGATTTTTTCGGATTTGGGCAAGGTATCCCCGCCTCGATTATATATATATATATAATTTTTTTATATAAATTATATATATAATATTTTATATTTTTATATTAATTATATAATACAAACCTTAAATATTTAAACCCTAAACCTTAACTTTTATAATTATTAAAGTGAAATTTGGTTGATTTTTTGATAAAATTTTCAATGTAGGGAGCTATCAAAGAAAGTGACAAAAGTGGCACGACGATTTTGGATGATTTTATTTGACTTAATATTACGTATGCATCTTCGTTGTATGATTTGAATATCAGAACAAATTTGTATTTAATTATGTATGTGTTTTATTTTGGAGTTTAGACAATTATTTAGAATTGGGTTTGAATTTGTGATTTTAGTTTGAATTGTAAATCATATAGACTAATTTTCCAATTTTTTTGTGATCGTTTTTTCTATTTTTATGAAAACTACGGTTGCTCGGTTTTTTCTCGAGATCGGGTCGGGTTCGGGGACGGGGTAAAAAAAATCCCCGACGAGATGTCTCGATAAAAAACCCGACTGAAAACGGGATGGGGATTCATTTCGGGGACGGGAATGGGGAGCAAAACCTGCCCGTTGCCATTCCTATATGCAACACTTTGTACAGTAGGCGTTGGATTATAGGTTAGAAAAGGACCCTTAATCATTTTAAAAAAATGAAGATGATGTGGCCTTAGTTTTGGGTCAAATAGGCCCATTTTAAGAAGAATAAAGCCCAACAATTGGTTTATATGGCCCGATAAAATTGATGTGGATTCTCAGGGTTAATTTAATAAACGTTCTTAAACTATGATCCGGATTCTATATTGGTCCTTACATTTTTAGATATTTAGTTAAACTCTCAAACTATTGAATCTTATCAATTAGGTTTTTCCATCATCCTAATGTTAGTGTAAGGATTAAACGATTTGCACATACACGTTTGATCTAAGTTATTTATCGAATCTTATCAATCAGGGTTTAAGATAAGGAAAAACTCTCTTTCAACCATGAAACTAGCTGAAGACGAAAGATTGAAAAATACAAGTGTGGAAAGATCCATGTTTAGTCCCCCACAGAAACAGCTAGTGTTTCTGATTGTCTAAAATTGTAATCACAACAACCAAGCAGACTACCAGGTGGATCATACATATGAGACAGATACTTTTGCTGTCTAGTTCTTTATATCAGATGTCTTGCCTTGTTGCTTAGACTCGGGGCTGTTGTGGTATATTATAAGGCTATGCCTGCTGTCGAAATCTCTGACGAACTGCTTCATTTTCTTACCGGGATCCATGGCCGAACCTTTCGGATCTTCATGTAATAGCCCTTTGATTGCTTCGGGCATTGGTTCATCTTTCATCACACTTCTCCAGTAGTCCCCTGGTTCTTTTCTTCCATAGCTGACATTCACAAACTGCAGAAAAGAAAAAAATATCAGATAAACGTAATTGATGTATAGCAAGTATGGTGTTTATTGAGTGAGTCGATCGTGAGATGAAAAGTATTCTGTTCAGATTTGAAAATTATTCTATTCGTGCTCGATTTAACTCGATACTCACTAAAATATACTATACTTATGTTCATCAAGTTCACCAAAATTCTTACCTTATTTTTTAAAATATATGTAAAATTTAGTAATACTATATAGAACTTAATATAAATATAAATTAAGAAATTTAATAAAAAGAAGGATGGAAACAATTCTAAATTCTTAACTCCAAATTAACAATCTATAAATACACTAAACAAACATATTACAACAAAAGTAACAATTTTCGAATACACCAGATAAACCTATTATAACCATTCTTAAAAGAAGAAGAAAAAAGTTCAATAATATATAATCAATCCTAGAAGGAATTAACAAGTTGCTCATTATCTTATCTAGTCGCGTTGGACCTTATTCGATTCGTTAAGATCTCAAGTCGATCTCGAATTTAAATCGTGTCAACTCGAATCGAGTATTAACTGAGTTTTAATCGTCAAGTTTGAGTTGCTCAACTCAATTAGCATTCTATATGAATAAAAAAACGGCTGAATTATTGGTTTTGCTTACCAGAAGAAGAAAGGAGATGATGATGAAAGAGAAGAAAGTCTTCATGTCGACGGTGTTGAAAAACAAGGGTTAGGATTTGCTATTTTGTATATTGTAAGTTGCTCAAGACTGACCAACCATTTATAGGCCATTAACGGGAGGACAAGAAAATGATTATTATACTGTGTGTTTTCACTGTTTTATTGAAGAATCCATTAAACAAATAGTATTGTCCTTAATAAGGGTTTTAGAGCCTCAAGTTTTAAGGGAAAACTATCCCTTTTTCTGTCACTTTCAGTGGTGGACAATGTTCCTACACGTTTTACTGGCTAGCATTGTTGAAATTTGTTTATATAGTTGGAAGAGAACTGATCATAATACTAAAAGCAATAACACGTACTTTTACTAATAATAAGTTTATCTAGTGAGATAAGATACTAGATCCCTTAAGTATGATCAAGAATTTGAATTATGCCGTTTGTGAATGGAACAAAATAGGTTTGGAGGGTTGTCCCGTAATGAGTTTTTGCAGAACTCAATCCAAAATAATCGATCAACAGATAGGATACCGGTAGTTAAAAGAAACAACACATACTTTTTGACCTATATATATTTGATGTATTATGAAACTTTTTTCTGATAAGATATTCAAAGGCTGATATCTAGAATTGGAATCTCATTTGTCACCGATTTGTACTTGATGTATTTCAAGCCTGTTGATTAAATTAAGCAATATCTGCAATCTGTACTGCAATTTCTGTACTTTGTGGCAAATTAGAAATGGATTTCTGAGTGGAACATTATCCTATTATGCCGTATTTAGTGATTTGTTGACTTAAACAGATTAATCATTTCGTCAACATCTAATGGCTAATGCTAGAGCAAATAGATTAAAACAGCTCGCGCACACACACCTATATTAGTTTATAGAGAACAAATTCAACAACATTTAGTCTTGAGTTGACTCTCAAATGAAGATAGTCAGCAATGATGCAATGCCTACACACCATGAAAAAAACTTTATAAGCTTCAACTTCATACACAATTTTCTATATTGTGCTTATCAAAGATTTTGTCCACTTGTTCTTTTTCTGGTTCTCATTTGGTTCATGCACACAGCATCTTTATTTATTTATTTTTATTCTCATATAGTTTGGTCTAATCTTTAACATTTTTATTATGGCTACTTATGGCATGATTTGCTGGGCACATGGTCTGATATGCCAAAGTCAACTTCATTTGCATGTCAAATATGTAAGATTGATAGAACCTTTTGAAATTTTTAACTATTTTTCTAGATTAATTTATTTTTTTATCTTTCATATTCGTGTTACGTATTCGAAATTCATGATATTAATCTGATATGTTATTTGTCAAATATCAAAGAGAAATGAATCTACTCCATAAGAATTTTCAATGGACCATCGGCTCTCTTGTTCAATCTTTAATCATTGCAATGAAGAAATGAACAATATTTCATGCATATGTTCATTGTGTACATGACAAGGTACGTTCTGCAGTAGGGCACTCCATTGTTGATAGTCAACTCTTGTGCAGTTTTGAACCCACCACCGCCCTAGAACCTCATATTTTTTTTTGGGCTTAGTTTACAATCTAACTCTAGTTAACTTAAGATTAAGCCATGTTTGCCGACATCCCCTGATTTTTATGATAAGTTTTACTTTGTGGAAGAAAGTGGTTTTCCTGTTACATCTGGTGTAGAATAGAGCCAACAAGCCAGACAATGCCGAATGACATAAACAATTCGACCGACACCTGACCGTTGAAACCGGGTTTAATCCATTATTTTCTCACACGCATGTTTTATTGGTTAAAAGTAGATTATTTCAATGGAAGTTGGAAATATAATATTGTTGTTTGTGTAGTTGAGAAACAGAAGGAAAAAACAAACAAAAATGGGTTCTGGTTTTGCTTCTTGGTGCACATCGTTTTCTGTTTGATGGTACGGATCAATATGAGCTTTGCTTGATTTATGCTCAACAACACCCACGTACATAGATTCCTACATTGAAACTTCTTTCTTCTATTTTGATTGCAGTTTGTACATGCCGGTAATGCTCAGAAGATAACTCACAGACATCGTATCGAACAAGGTTCGATCAGCTCGAATCATCTGCAGCAACCTTCGAATTAACTACGACTTTGCTCGACAAGCCGAAAGTTCCTTTACAGAACTATAGGATCTCGGACATGCCAGAACGGATCCCTTCTAAAATGATTGCATGCATATTTTGCCACACCCAAAAGAGTGAAACCAGACTGCTGAAGGTTTCACTAGGTGCTGAAAATGGAGATAAGGTGCAAGGTATTGCTGCTTGTCACATGGATACCTCTCAATGGGACATGAATCATGTATCATTTCGTTTGCTCGGAATCGAGCCCGGATCGGCCCCGGTGTGCCATTTCTTCCCGCCGGATAATCTTGTATGGGGTGTCTTTGACTTCTTGATTGAACGGACTGGTTCGGATAGTGTGCCATATGAATGTCCATGTAACACTATGTCCTTCCACCAACTATTCCTTAATATTATTCAACCGACTAAAAAGAGAGTTGTTTTCGATATCTAATTTAAAAAATTCTTTTGTATAGTTCTTATTCTTGATTGAACGGACTGGTTCGGATAGTGTACCATAAATTGGCCCTTACAATGATCAAAGAAACACAATGAGGCCCAAGAGGCAGTGAATCAGAGTTTGGTGGTGATTCAAAGTGACCCCAACCGAGCCACTAATATAGGCCTGCATAACTACTTCATTAACTAATTGCATCGTATTATTTGAAGTTCATTAATTGAATTTTCCCTCTTTAACTGTTGATCGAAATTTATAAATGATATATATTATATATTTAATATTTTCGATTAATTTGATCGGTTAATTTAGAATCGATTTAATCAACAATCAAAGTTTGAAAAAAATATTAACTGTTAACTGATAAATTTAAAATTAATCGATCAATTAACCAAAAATTTAATTCGATCCATTAATTTAATTAAAATTGAAGTTTAAATATTCATAAATACTTAATTGCTGGTGCTAGAGCCAGGGCCTACCTTTTCAAGTATGGGCCTGGTGGCTACCCTGTAATCTTTTCTGGATCCCAACATCTAATGAATGACTTCCTGTATAGAACATTTAGCCATTTTCGCTTTGCATTTTCTACCTGTTTGTTCGCGAAGAAACTCGCTCGAAATCTCTCTCTCATATGGGCCTTTATATCCTCAAGACGACACCATTTTCCTCTTCTTCCTCCAAAGCTCTACTCACCGCTGTGAAACCCGCCACCTTCGCTAGATTTATCAGTTCTTGTTCGATAAATTCTTCTAATTCTGTTCTTCCTTGTAATTCTTGCTTGAGGTTTCCTTTTTCTTCGCCGAAAGCCATTACTTGCTTCGCTTCTCCATCTGGGTCCGGTGGGTTCCTTCACCAGAGCAAGCGTAGGTACCGTGGGAGCGTGGTCGTCGCCATGGCTGCTTCTGGGTCGCTCCAGAAATCTGAGGAAGAGTGGCGTGCTATTCTCTCCCCTGAGCAGTTTCGAATTTTGAGACAAAAGGGCACCGAGTAAGTTTTCCTTTTAAGCTACTGACAGCGTTGAATTAGAACCTTTCTAGGGGAAATTGTATAAATTTTGAGCTTTTATTGTTTTTGGGCCAATTAAAGTTTGTAATCTGATAAACTACATGGAGAACCGACATAATTTTTGGGAAGAATTTGAGCTTGCAATGTGCAAAAATCTGTTCTTTTAGCTGTTTGTTCATGGAATAGCTTCTAGGAAGTTCATTCAAAGTTGTGGTATATGTTCTCCCAAATGGCATTTCATCATATGCTTAATTGCTCAATATAATTTCCTCTGAATCATGATACTCGACTCTGTTGTAAGTGTCAAACACGAGTTTCGGGGCAAAATTGTTTGAATATTGTGGTGATTTTTTTTTTTGCTCGAATAAGGTGCATCTTACAGTAATATGAGGATCTCGCCAGAATTCCACGATTATTTCAAGAAAACACGTTGACTGCGTGACGTTTTCACGTATCGGCATGTCGCAAGACGACTTCCCCATGCTACTTACATGCATGTTACCTGGCAGCGATGCAGTCCGAATGCAGGGGAGGAATGGGAACTCGCCTTACAAGCACGGCGAGATTATGAAATCATCATGCAGTTAACATACTTTTTTGAAATCACCGTGGAATCCTGACGTAATCCTCCTATTACTGTAGCAATCACCCTAGATCATGAAATAATTTTTGGTAGACCTTATTCTAACAATTTTGCCCGAGTTTTGGACACAAATATTTCATGGAAAATGAAGAGTCGAGCAACATAGCGTAAGTCATATTCAATGATAAATTCATAACAATATTTTGATGCTGTATAGGTATCCAGGCACCGGAGAATATGACAAATTCTTTGAGGACGGTGTTTATAACTGTGCTGGATGTGGCACTCCTCTCTATAAGTCTACTACAAAATTCAATTCTGGGTGTGGTTGGCCTGCTTTCTATGAGGGTCTCCCTGGAGCTATTAATTGCAATGTGAGCTTCCTTCCTCCATTTTCACTCTCTGTTGCTAGTTTTTCTTCTATATAATCCGGTCTTTTCTCCATATCATCTTAAAACCGGTGTATCTTTCATGTAAATTTTACTAATGATGAGAGCGTGATGTTCAACCAGCCGGACCCAGATGGGATGAGGACAGAGATCACTTGTGCAGCTTGTGGTGGACATTTAGGCCATGTATTTAAAGGTGAAGGGTTTCCGACACCCACGGACGAGCGCCATTGTGTCAATAGCATATCACTCAAGTTCGTTCCTGCAAATTCTGGGTAGTGATTCCTGTTGTTGTAGCAGATATGTTGATACTATTCACTCTGTATAAGATCAAGGCCATGGTGGATGTTAGATGTTAACTTGTTCTAATAAGAACTGATGTGAATTCTGGATCAAATTATACTTCTCTGATTCTATTGTATTTGTACTTCATGGTTTCTTGCAATGTCATGCAAAATGTTTTCCTAGTTTCTTTATTCGGTTAGATATGGTTACCAGGAGGGCATCGATTTCCCGGGCATCTCGGAGTATGTAAAGATGAACTTCATGGATATGGTTTACTTTGCCGAGCTGTTTCAGATGGTACCTGGTTTCAGATTTCAGATGAATCGCCGCCGATATAGTTTTCCCCTAATATTTTTGGGTAAATTGTGACATTAGTCATTAAACTTTTGGTTTATATTGTCATCTTTTGTGACTACTTTTGGTACCGATAAACTTGTCTTATTGTCCTCCACAACTTTAACGGTTTAAATTTTTTCAAAATCTTTTTAAAACTCATAAAACTAAACATAAAATTTATTGTTTTTGTGATTTGGGGAATCTTTTGAATTTGAGGAGTATGAGGTGTTTATTAAAAAATCATAAAGGCAATAAGTATTTTTTGAGAATATAAACTATATACTTAGAAACTAGTCTCATGAAACAATTGTCGGAAGATATTAATACATTAGAACATCTTTGATGGATTTTTATCGGTTTTGAGCGAGTTAAAAATTAAGAGAGAAAAAAGAAAAAGAAAATATAAACGCTTTTTCTACCGATCTTGTTACAACGATTGACCAACAACGATAGTTGAAGTAGTTGATGATTTTCATAGAAAACTAGTAAGAAATAACCATATTATGAAACAATTAATAATTTAGTCCTATTTGAAATGAACAAAAAATCAGTGTTAAAATTGAAGCATTTAAAAATTCAATGCTAAAATTAATATACCACTTAACATTTTGTGACTAATGCTGTAGTTTAACATAAAGTTTTCATATTCAAAACTACATACTAAAGAAAAATCGTTAAAATACAACTCACTAAAACCACGTTTGATTGAGGATAAATGGAGGAGCTGAAGTATACAAGGTTTTGATGATAAAAATTTGAACCTTATCCTCCAATGTACACGTTTGTTTTCTCTTCGGGTATACCAGTATCCGCCACGTGTACATAACGTTATCCCACCAGTCAGCAGTCCAAACGGAAACCACTTCCTACTTGTCTTTAACCGAACAGATTCCATAGTCCTCAAAAACAAACTACTGGTCGAGACGCTTCAGCTCTTTCCACGAATTTTAACAAGCTCAAAGAACACAGCTTTTAGACATGTCGTGGCCGCTTTCTATCCTCTCTTCTTCACCCCCTTAAAATACACGCAAGAAACATTAACAAATAGATATAATAAAAACACCCAAAGTTTTTTTTTCTTTCTCGAGGTTAAGAGTTCTTAGCTTGAATCTTTATTGTTTCTCAAGAATCAGGGAAATGCCTTCGAGTCTGTCTGTTTCAGGGTCTTGAGCCTTCAATCTTTGAACCCTTTTAGCACCATGTTGGAGTCGTTATCTTGTTGCCACAGCCCCAAGGTATGCAATCGCTTGTCGTTGACATTTTCTTCGCGTTTTCTTGAACGAATTAACGTGCCAACCCATGGTTGTTCTTGCTTTAAGCTTCTTTTCAATAAAAAATTGAACTTTCTTTATGTTTCACATGTATGGTTTGCGCCCTCTTTTGAGCCTTTTGCATATCTGGTTTTGTTAAATTTGGGAGGCTATATCGTTTAAAACTCCTTTATTCGGCTTCACTGTAATCTATTGGTATTTCAAGGACATAACTTTAGCTATTTCTATAATTTTCTAGAGTTGTAGTAGTTGTTTGGAAATCGATTTTTGCTGCCAAAATGTGTACACGTGGTTTATTATTTGATTTATCATTTTCATCCCAATTGCAGGGTTATGACTTTGTTAAACGAAAGAGTCGGGGTGGCACATACTCTCAAGCTATATCATGGTTTTCTGGGCATTCTTCTTTCGCGCCATATGTCAATAGCACGCTCTTCTGTTCTCGACCATTATCTGTAAAAGTCGGAACGAATAATTGCACTCATGGTTTAAAGCATATATTTGGTGGCACGCCTTCTCCACCTTCGGTACCATCTAATTTGAGAGGACTTAATTTCTGCCATGATAGACTGCTCCACCGGAAAAGGTCGCGAATCCATGCGACAGTTGAGGTTGCAAGTGCTATTGATGTCATCAATGATTTAGGACTGGATACTCTGACATTCTTGGCTGTGACCGTCATGGTTGTTCCCACATTCAAGATATTTCGATCAAGCCCTGTAAGAATAATCAATTTTAGTGGCATTAGTCTCACAAACTATTCTTTTTTCCCTCCCTGTTGTGATTTCACCGACTGGCATCACATACAAGTTTCTCCTACATCTATACGAATGTAGATATGTGCTTAGGTTTGATCCAAGGGCAAGCGTATATACTTGTAAAGCATGATGTCTCATTAGTTACTCGAGGAATCTTTAAATATTTATTCAAAATGGAAGAAACTATAGATGTTGTTCCTATCGATTGATAGTCTTCGATCCCTAGTAATAACAAAATGTAAATTCTAAATTGCTTCCAGATACTTGGCTTCTTCTTTGCTGGGGTTGTACTGAATCGGTTTGCATTGATTAGAAATCTTACAGATGTCAAAGTCCTGTCTGAATGGGGGATACTTTTTCTGGTAAGTCCAATTGCTTAACTAAGTAAGATGTAATTTTTCTTTCCTTTAATTGTGTTAGATCTGTGCTAATAGTTAATACATTCACTGCAAATCATGCATCTTTCACTCAACTGTTGCTTACAACTTTCCTTTTAGCTATCCTGCTTGTGTACAAATAAATAAATAGTTCGAGATATTCGGTCTTATTTATTGGATTGATAGCCATCTTCTTTGCATTTTCTATATTAATTTTGGTCTAACACATTCTCCTTTTCCAGCTGTTTGAAATGGGTTTAGAGCTTTCACTTGCGCGCCTTAAAGCTCTTGCTAAATTTGCTTTTGGCATGGGATTGACTCAGGTATGGTGCCATTGGGAATTGTTATTTTAATCCGATTGTACATTTGCATTCCGTATAAATCATATTTGTAAAACTACCAAGCAATAATACAATGGAAATGACCGAGAATGAGTTAAATTGTTAAACACGCAGGACATGGTCTACGTTTAAGTGAAAATGATAAAAGTGAAATACTTCTCCGAACTATTTTCGGATGAGGCGCAGCCAAATTTATGTGGTGGAATCTGTGTCTTTTCATTTTTTTATTTGCTTGAAGGACACTTCTGACAAGTTCCTTGGAGTACTACTACCCTATGGCTACAGATATAAGATCACTATATTTAGGGGTACCAGTAAGGTTCAGTTATGGCCCATTTTGACTGGCATGGTGGTTTGATAAAGCGGTTATTCTGGCTTTCTTACAGCATAGAAGCACTTTTATTTTATGTTTTCCCTTCGGGTGCTAGGTGATTGATACTTTTTCCTCTTTCTATATGTAAGGTCTTTTTTTCCACCCTTGCGTTCACTGCATTTGAACTTCCACCTAATGGGGCTGTTGGAACTAAAATTTTGCAGTTCCTATTTCACTCTGGACCTGAGCTGGTGAGAACGCTTCATCACAAGCTGTTTAATCATTCTTGTATCGTCATTTATTTGCTTAATGCTTTAATCGTTCTCTGCTACTTATGAGTTGGTGTTTCGTTGAGTGTCATTGGCAAGCTGTAGTGCTACTTATTGCATGGACCTGTGGGATCTGTTTTATACTTTATTCTGCATCTATGAATTTGACTCAAATTTGAGCAAATTTGGAAAATAATTTCAAATATTCGTCCCGGTTGGAAAAAAAGAATTCTGGAAAGTATTGATAGCTTGGGTTATGGTTTCAGTATCATTGGGGTTTGAAGTTTGTTCGCTCTTTCTGTTTTCCCTTTTGTTTTTGGTTGAGAAATCGATAGCTTGATTTCATTTATCTAATTCAGAATTAGTTAGTAGTAATGTTTATAATTTGAATGTTTTAGACAGCAGTTATATATTGGAAGCCATCTATTATCAATGTATTAGAGTAATCCCTTTTAGCTTAATTTTCTTTTGTTTTTTGGTACATATATAGGTTAATATCAGAAGCGTTGATGAAGCAGTAGTAATTGGGGCTGCTCTATCTCTATCTTCTTCAGCTTTGTTCTACAGGTATTCTGATTGTCGATATCTAAGAATGGTTGTTTGTTCTTCTGCTTTTGTCTTTATGAGTGGATATGTATAAATTCTTGCAGTCAGGCTAAAATCATGCCATGCTCATTATTTGCAGAAGCGGTAGTTTTCAGATTCTGGCTTTCTAGTGAAGTTTTATGTTCAGAAGTGGATTGTCCATTTATATTATTTTCCTTCCTTTACGAGTAGCTAGAATGTATACTTTCTCTATATAAATGGAAATCCGGAATTGCTACTTGCTCTTTTATGACAAGATCGCGGCATGACAGATAAATACATATTATGCAAAAAATAAGTTCCTCGCTTTGTGGTGCTTTTGCATGTCAATTGTTTCCTTTCATTGATATGTGAGATATACTTGCCTGATAGAGCATTGTAAAGCTTACGATATTAAGATACAGCTTCTAGCAGAGAAGGGTGAGCTGCCAACAAGATTTGGCTCAGCAACTCTGGGGATACTACTTCTGCAGGTTCTTGCTTACAGTCTACTTGCTTGCCTTATTTTTTCCGTTTGTGGGTTTTCTAGGTTCAAAGTAGACATCAAAATAGGGTGTCAATAACCTCTTTCGGGCACTGTTTCTTGATATTTGCAGGACATAGCCGTTGTCCCTCTCTTAGTCATACTTCCAGTTCTCGAGAGCCAGGTATGGAGGAGCCTCTCTCTTTCTCCATGGTTTCTTGGTCGCTAACATCTTTTTATTTCTTTCATTTGTTTGAATGTGCATGTTTCTCATTTAGTTGAGTTATTTTTTCTCATTTCATGTGCATGCTTGAGAAATTGATATTATGAAAACATCATATACAAGTATTATGATATGCTTAGAAGAGGAGAAGTTCAGAAATCTCATTTTTGGAATAATTTTTCAATAGGAGAAGCCTTTTAACCATTGTGATGGTCAATCGTCTCTTTTTTCTCGTTTATTTACTCCACTTCAAAGCGATTATGATATTTTGTATGTGCTTATCAGATATATATGGGAGGCACTGTTGTCTTTGACCATTTTTGGTATCTTTTACAACTTTGCAGAACATAACAGAGGGCAGTATTTTGCCAATGCTAGTTCAAGAAAGTTTAAAGGCGCTACTAGGGCTTGGTGTGCTTTCTCTGGAGGAAAATACATCTTAGGAGAGTTTTTGAGGTTTGTTGAGTTTATTATTAAAGTGAGAAAAAGGGGGAAAAAAGACTCCCACTTTTGTATTCTATAAAACTAACCTCGGTTTCTTAAGTTTTCAGGTTGTTGCCGAACAAGGAGCTCAGAGGCCTTTGTTGCTCTCTGCTTGCTAACAGTTGCCGGGACTTCCCTTATGACCCAAGAGTTGGGCTTCAGTGATACGGTTTGATATGTATTCTCTATAGCAGATAATGTTTAAGATTGATGCATTTCAAGCCTTGTATCAAATACATTCAATTTCGTTATGCAGCTTGGAGCATTTCTGGCTGGAGCATTACTGGCAAACAAATTTCCGGACACAGATCGAAGCTGATATACGACCATTTAGAGGCTTGCTACTTGGGTTATTTTTTGTGACTACTGGAACTTCAATTGACTTGCAGGTATGGTATAGTAACCATTTTAAGCAAGTATTACCCTTTAGTAACCATTTCAAGCAACTATGCTTCTAGAAAGATTTGATGACATGAATTTATGTGGTTTTACCTACGAATGTGTAAATGCAGCTATCGCCGTAAGTAATGCATGCAGTGCCAGTATTGTTGCTTCCTGTTGTTTGATTTAATGCAGTTTATATTTGCTTCTTTTGCAGCTCTTTACCGAGAGTGGCCGAGTATCCTGCACTCTTGTCTGGTTTGATTGTCATCAAAACATTGATCATTACAGCAATAGGTCCTCGTTGGACTCACCTTGCAGGAAAGTGTAAGAGTGGGATTTCTTTTATCACAAGGAGGCGAGTTTGCATTGTCGTTTTCTCTCTAGCTAACAGGTTCGTCAGAGCTCAATTCGATGGAGTAACTAGTCTCTTAAGTAGACACACTTGTTTTTATGCTATAAAGTCTTCTGCCATTCTCGAGCAGCCTTGGAGTCCTACCTCTTGAGCTTAATAAGCTGCTTATTGTTGTGGTACTCTCGATGGCGTTAACCCACTGCTTAATGAAGTTGGAAGAAGGGCTGCTGATTTCGTTGAAGACAAGTTTAATAAAGATGTATGTTCATGATAGTATTTCATTTCAGTTCCATTGATGACTATTTTTGTATTCATCATCTTGCTTTGAATACGAATTTATCTGTGTGAACTTAAAGAAGAAATTTTCACAGGGCGATGAAGACGTGACAGTGAATTTCGATGCAAGTGAACCAGTTGTTATAATTGGCTTTGGGCAAATGGGACAGGTACATCCGTTATGACGCAGTAACAACAATTATTACTGTGTGGCCGCGACTCTATTTTAGTTTTTGATGTTTTTACGTGCAGGTACTCGCTAATTTTTTGTCAACTCCACTCGTGCTGGAGTAGATGGTGACTTCATGGGATTACATATAGCTTTCGACCTCAATCTTTCTGTTGTAAAGGTATCCGAATTTCATTATGTAAACCGAGTATATACTATATCTTTACCGACTCGTCATGGTATTCAAAAGACATGTTACTGCATTTGCAGGCATCTAGAAAACTTGGTTTCCCGATTCTCTACGGAGACGGGTCACGTCCAGGTGTTTTGCAATCTGCTGGTATCAAGTCCCCGAAAGCTGTCATGATTATGTACCGAGGAAAAAATAGGACAGTTGAAGCTGTTCAAAGGCTTCGGCTTGCCTTCCCTGCGGTAATGCCTCTCTTCTTGTTCTCACCGGCTTTGTGATTTGTACATATTACAATAAAATTTTGATGAAAATACATACATACATAGTTCATACATACACACACATGTATATTCATTTGTCTGTAACAATGGTGCATTGGCTCTGTTGTTCCCTTCACGTTCACCTGAAATTCATACCTCTAGTAGGCTCACTACTAGTTGCTACTGCTTTCTCCGATTCTTCTATGTTCTTTCTTGTTTCGAAAGAGAAAGAAACTGTCCCCTGGCTGGACTGCTAATCTTCGGCTAAAACATGCTTTCGAGAAGGTTCCGATTTACGCAAGAGCTCAAGACTCAAACATCTCTTAGACTTAAAAAAAGCCGGAGCAACCGATGCGATCTTAGAGAACACAGAGGTATCTACAAATTCTTTTTCCCCCTGCATTGCATTGTTATTACAAGGTTCAACTGTTATACTTCAGCTCCCTTACATCGTATTTATCCATGCAGACGAGCTTACAACTTGGATCCAAGCTTTTGAAAGGATTCGGTGTCATGTCCGATGACGTGACATTTCTGCGTCAGATTTTTCGAGATTCCATGGAGTTACAAGCCAAAGAAGAACTCAGCAGAACTGATGATCGAGAGCCAGATATTATGAAGCCACTGCAGGTACGCAGATGCTTTTTCCTATACAGTTTGATGAATGTAGTTGATTCTTTACCATCATATTCTTACAGTCGGGCCATTGATGAACTTGATGAGTTTAACTTTGCTTAGGCGAAAATGGCCAAGGCCGAAGTGTCGACATCACCGATCGCATCTGACGATAATTTCACAATGAAAAGCCTGATAGATGGAGCTCAAGTTTCCAGGCTTGAAGGTGGTGTTGATCAGACGGATGAACTGTTAACCCCATCGGAAGGCGAATCATCGGAAAAAAACCTGACGGATATAACTAAACTACCCCTGTTTCAAGTGGCTGAAGTGGACTTAGAAAAGAACGACGGCATGCTTAATCGGTCTGAAATCCGGAATCACAAGGTGTTTTATACGGTGAAAATAGATAACAGGAAATGGCGTTCTGGTAACATCACGGTGACGAAGTCAGGAATACAGTAACACCTAGTGGCGAACATTAGAAACAACAAAGCTTGAAAAGTTTCGCTTATGTTCAGTTTCGGTTTTCTGAAATCAAACCCCCCCCCCCCAACAAAAAAAATGTATACTTTATGAATAATGCACAAGGAGCAATGATTCTTTTTTGTACATCCAACAGTTTCATTAAACCAACGGCGTTACAAGAACCCAATCCAGTGTTCCACTGTCCTATAATCTTGTTTCACGCTCATTGTTTATGATTGGATAAAGTCAGCCCCACCTTTTTACCGATATGTTCGATCTCATCATTAAAATATCCGAAACAAACCGACCGAAAGGCCCACAGACTCTCTTCCCTGGTTTTCCCCGAAAACCTCTTGCTTCCCCTCTCTATAAAAGAGCCGACTGTCGATTTACTAGATTTGCTCATTTCTTTTTTTTTTATTCCCGATTAAAGTTAATCTCTGATCATGGCGCCTACTGCTGCAATGTTGATTCTGCCCCATGTGGGTGAAACTTCTCCACCGCCATTGGAGGTTAAGGTCTCTGCTTCGAAGTGGATAGCACTGGGAAAAAGCTTTCTGTTTCGAACAAAATCTGGGCTTAAGAGGGAAGAGCCTAAGATTGAGGTTGATCGATCTTCCTTGCTGATTCTACTTGGAAAGCAGGTTCCTTGAAGCCCTTGAACACCTGATGGTAGAGAATAGAGAATTAGAGATCGTGATATCATTTGGTTCAGAGTATTTGACTCAAAGTTTGTAAATTCTTTGCTTAAATCGCTATCTGTTTATCACATATACTCTGTAATTGTCAACTTTTGATATTACTATGGCAATTTGGTTCTTAGATACAAGAAAAAGGACTTTGATGTTTGAACATTGAACCCAAACATCCTTTTCTCAAATTCAGAACAACAGAATAATTTGAGCTCTGCAACAATGGCGGAATTGTGAAGGACTGAAAAAAATATTAATATTTGTTTAGATATATATATTTGGCCTTATAAGCTATAATAAAATCAACTCAAATTTTAATTCAAATCTGAGTTAATATCTGACATCAACCCTAAAATATATCTCATGGAGTACTGGAGAGTATGGTGGTGGTGATGGCCGAGGGACAAAAGAAGACAAAAATATGGTTTGCAAAACAATGAAGATAGAGATTGGTCTAAGCTTCCCAGTGACATCCTTAAATGCATACTGGAGAAATTTTATTGGTCGCATCAAATCCGAATACGTGGAGCTTGCAAGGATTGGTGGAACGTATCCCTCGATGGGATTCCACCAATGATAAAGTATGGTTAATGACATGCCGATAGATGGTAAGAGAGTGATCGTAGATGTAAGGCTTAAGGACACCTCGTTGGACAAAAGGTATACATCGACAAAGGCGTTAAGGGAGAAGATCGATTTATTTTCGGTTCAGCTCAATATCAGTCCAGTCGATAGCTCTTTTCCAAAACAAATCCGAGTACAGCTTTTGTATCAGATGTGTCTTCTCTTGTACTCTCCTTTCACTAATGAGGTTCTTGAGCTGGCAACACTCGGTGATTTGACGGCCACGTTTAACTTGAGTTCAGCAAGTTCAGAGTGCCTTGTTTCAGTTTCTACAGATTTAAGAAACGACTGGTATTAGCACATGTCGACGGGTGATCTGAGTTGGAAGACGTGCTACCTCGTAGAACGTCATCCATATAGAAGCTGGTATGGCTCCTCGTTGAGTTCAACTTATTTAGACGGCTGTTTCTACTGTCTTTTTTTCAGGTGGCACACTAGACTTATTTGACATCGATAGTTGAGAATGGAGATCGCTTATGAAATGCTGGCGAGTCCCAGACCATGAGTATCAAATTGATGTTTCCAGCGAAAGGTAGCCGGTCGTAGGTGTCCATGTCTACCACATAGGCCCAAAATAGTTATGAAATTCAATCTTTCAGCCGAATGTTGGATTGAGAATTGAACTTCGTAGAGATGGTAAGTACAGGTCTTACATCCTCATCACTATTTAACCATTGGGAGAATCATCATCAACAACAAGTGATCATCATCATCTATATGCTTATTTGTATCCATCAGACGAAAAGCACCGAGGGATTCGATATTGATAGAGCCTCCTGTCAATTGTGTTTGGAGAAGGCATCACTTGCTTAGTCCAAGCCAGATGCAACAGATACTATCTTATATTATATGATTATATGCTTCATTGGTGGTAGATACTAGGAACTTGAGATTTCTTTTTATTAGTCTAAGTCAGTTCTCTCTACATTTATCTTTTAAGCTTGTTATGTTTAAATTAAATACAATTTAGAATTATTTTATTCGAATTGACTCGATTTCCCAACTCTTGGAAGAAATCTCATTTTTAATAAGCACTACATGTTTAAAAGGCCTTGATTCACACACACCACAAGAAACACCATCTTCCTTCTGGTAATTCTCGACTATGCAGCACATGGTCCTTTTTGTTGCTGTAATGGTCGAGTTCAACAGATGAACGTATTGTTCTGCCTGCTTATTGTTGCAATATAAAAAAAAGCAGAACCAAGAATATATATGCTTAAGACTTCTTCGTGTATGCGCATGATGTATAGCGTACATGTCACTCTGTTGTAGTTATTGTGGCATATAACTTTCTTGGTATAACAAGACTAACCAACAAGACCTACCTTTTTCCGCCATATCTGATTTCGAGTCGCCTCGATTTGTAAATCTGTAGAATTCGAGCACGACAACAATTCTCTGTAAGTCTGAGATGCAGGAAACCATGCTTCCAAGTCATAGTTCTTGTCAGCAGCAGCAGCATTAAGAGCACCAGAAGCAATTACCACGATTTGATAAGGTGTTAACCCAATTATACCCCAAAAATTACACTTGTAAATGAATTCAAGCAAGATCTTGAAAAATTGCATCTTGTAAATGAATTCATCAGTATCATTCTTGTAGCACAAATGTTACAGCTTAAATACAATAACTTAGATAGGAACTTGGAATTCCCTCAACACTACTGCTATCAAAATACTTCAAGCAAAAAAAAAAAATCTTTAAAAGAAAAAGGGTGACAAATGACCGAGACGATTATGATACATGTGCATTATGCTCACTTCGGCAGCTTTTCGGCGCTTGAAGGCTATGGAGTTTGGCTCTTTTGGAATGGTTGTATGCTTTCTCCGCTGAGATGAGGCTTCTTTGCTAAGGAAGTTCCTTTCTCATTATGATCCG